TTAAAAGCATCAGAACTACCGTGATGCATGTATATGGCATCGCAAACACTCGTGTCATGTGAGTTACTGTCATCCCTCTTGTTTGGGGGAGTGTTGTGATCCGAGGTTAAATGAGTCAAAGCAGCGATGCTTCCTGGCCTGCCCCCTTTGGCCTGGCTCTTGCTGCTGGTGGGGATGAGGAGGGGTTTGTTTTCCTGGAGCAGTGACAAGGCTGAGCTGCCGCCCCCCACCCGCTTTTTCCCCCCTTTGGAGCAGCAGGACGGTGACGGGTTGTTGCTGAACGCACACATGAGATCGGTTGTTTCCCCCGAGTCCGAGGAGAGCAATAACAAACAGTCAGTCAGATTTTGTAAGTCTTTTGACTCAAGTGGGGCATGAAAATAAAGTTTGTGCAAGCAGATGATGACAGCCATCCTCCAGAAGCGACAGGACTGTGGGTTTCACACATGCCTGCACTGGCAGGCAGCGTGCCGCTGAGCCCCGCAGCCCCGCAGCCCTGCTCTAACCAGGAGCCCTTACACAGCCTGTGGTTTGCTGACCAGTTTTCTTTCTCTGAACGTAAACTGCTTTTGAATTAGTCGCGTCTACAGCGTCCTGGTGGAAGGGCAAACTTGCGTGTGTTAACTTTAAATACAAAGCCTAAACCTGCGTTATTGGGCGGGGTGTTTTTCTGGTTTAATGCAGTGCTGACTTCTGTTTCTAGGTTGTGGCATACCGCTTGTGCAAGCGAAGAGGGAGAGGTGATCGTCTTTGGGGGCTGTGCCAACAACTTACTTGCCCATTCTAAAGCTGTAAGTTTATTTCGAGCTTTCCCTTCCCGCGCAGCCCGGCCCTTCCCGCAGGAGCCGTGGCGTCTTATCACTCCAGCAAGCGTGAAATGCTTGTGGTCGGCAGCGTGATCTCGTGATGACTGACAAAGGTGCAGAAACAAAGTTTGAAGGGGAAATGTTTTGATGCTTTTCTGGAAACCAGGTCATTATTCATTATTTAAACAAACTCTGACTTACTTTCCCTCACACGTGTGTTTCACTTGGAGCCCCTTACCTCCCAATGACTTCTTTACCTTTGCCCTGTGCTTCTGATGGGGGTGCTTCCAGGGAGCCCCTCCCAAAGTAACTTCTTCACTGTGATACCTACAGAGAGGGCTGGTGAGAAGGGGCTGAACAGAGAGGGGCACTCCAGCCAGGACGGGGGTGTCCTCAGGTCTGTAAAAACACAAGTAGGCTGGAAAGGGTGACCGGGAACAAGCACCTGCTAGTGTAAGAACCAGTGGGCGTCAGCTGGAACGGGCGAGTGGCAAACAAGAGTGGGGCAACACTTCTTTATGCACCAGCAGCTCAGCTCTGGCAGATGACATGTTTGTTTAGGTGCGTTCAAGGCTTATGCACCAGCAGCTCAGCTCTGGCACGTTTGTTTAGGTGCGTTCAAGGCACAGGCATAACCATTTAACAAAACCCCAAAAACATTGACTGCCGAGCCTGTCAACGGTCCCCGTGTCCACAGTCCCTCGGTGCAGAGCCCTGAAGAGGTGGAGACTCTGCCCGCAGGTGGTGGTCCTGTTCTCTCCCCCCGAGCACGGGTGTTGGCCAGGGTCAGAGCTGGGCCGCGGGGCTCACAGGGCCCTTCCCTTACGCACTCGTGCCGACTGTAGCTCCTAGCCCTCCCGGGCCGGGCCCGGGCTCCACCCAGCCCAGTCCCCGGTCCGACAGCAACAGGAGGTGCTGCGCAGGGAGAGCCTGTGAGCCTGGCCACTGCGCGCCCGTTCCCCTCCAGCAGTGTGTATGAAGTGGCACCAGACCTGTTTTTTGGTTCATCTGTAGTTCCCCGACTGCCCGTAACTTCCCGTAGCGTAAGATTCAGAGAGCAATTCTGCGTTCGGCTTGTCTGCTGCCTTTGTGATTTACGTGAAGTCCAGTCTACTCCCCACCGTCGGCCTCTCCTCTCCGGCCCCCAGGGCCGTGCCGTTTGCTTTCCTTTCCAAGGTCCGTTGGTGTGACCCTCGGCTGGTTTGGCTCCTGCTGTAATAATGTGACTCCACATAACCAAACTGCTTCTCTCTCTCCCCCCCAGGCTCACAGTAACGAAATACTTGTGTTTTCTCTACAACCAAGATCTCTTGTAAGGTAAGAAAGCAAGACTTCAACATTAAACTGTCGTGTCTCCATCTAAAACAAGTAGTGCAGGGTTACCGCCAGACCGTTTCTTATGTTCCCAAAACACTTGAAAACATTTCTTCCCCTAAAGAATGCTGAAGGAACAGCAGGCACTTAGGAGAGGATAGAGCACGATTCCTTCCAGAAGCACCCATTTGGCACTGACGATGGGAACGAGCCCTCACGAAATAGCTGTAAAGAATGAGGTTACCTTGCAGCCCTTGTTCCAAACGGTGCTAACACCGGCCGTGTTTCCCTCTCCCCAAGGCTGTGCCTCGAAGCAGTCATTTGCTTTAAGGAGATGCTGGCCAGTTCCTGGAATTGCCTCCCCAAGCACTTGCTGCACAGCGTCAATCAGCGGTTTGGAAGCAACAACACATCGGGCTCCTGAGCCCTCTGCAGACGTCTCTGCACGAGCTGCGCGTGGATGAGCAGTTCTACGAAGGTGTAATAATTTTACCAAGTGTGGCAAACATTAAACTTGTATAGGTTACAGATCTGTATTGTTGTAGGTAGTCGCTTCTTGCCTTTAAGTTGCATGTGAATGGCCTAGAGAGAACCTATTTTTGTGTAAAGATGTTTGCAATAAATGTATTTAATGCAAGTGGAGATGTATCCTGTGCTTAAGCTAAAACTAGTTCTGGGTTTGTCCACCTTGAAGTACGTGCGAGGGCCAGCCCCGAGCAAGAAGCTGGGGCGTGCATGTGTGGAAATACTTGTTACGGAGTCCCTAGTCAAGGACCCGAGGACTTTAGTGGTTGTGCACGCCACGACTGTTGAAGAGGAGTGTTGCTTTAGTCTAGGCTGAACGGCTGAGTGACGGGTGAGCAGTCCTGTTCTAGTCTACAGCGTTAGGAAACTGTCTGCTTAACGCTTTGCCACAAATGCTTAAGGTCAGAGAAATGGGATTTTGGAAATTGTGTGTTGTCAGAGCTGATAAACTGTCGTGAACCTTCAGATGTTAAAGCTCCACTACTCTCTGCTTGTTTGTAGTTTTGATTTTTTGGAACTCTGTGTTGTGGAACTTCAATTGTGAACCTTAGGTAGCAGATACTCTGCCCTGAGAAGTGTAACTGAAAGTGCTTGAGCCTGTTACCAGCTGTGTCGGTAACCTGTGGAGCTCACCCCCAGCTGGAACAGCCTGCAGGACTTCAGCTTGGTGGAGGTACACCGAAAGCGGCGGTGGGATGGGTCAGTGCCTGCCTTCGCTGACTCAGCTCCGTCTGTCAGCAGGTGACATCGGGGACAAGGAACAGGCTGTGCTGCTGTGGGGAAGGGGTGAAATCATGTTGGAGCTGTCCTCAAAAAAAAAAAATTAAAAAAACCCTTTGACTTCTAGAACAAAATAATTCCTGTATTGCAATTCCTGCGCCGGTTTCTTTTGTAAGCTTTAGCTATGGCATGATTAAGCGCCCAGGGTGGTGCAGACCATCAGAGCGGAGCTGTGGGTTCACGTCTCCCTCTGGGGTGTGCTGATACAGCACAGGGGGGTTTATTCTGACTCGAGCTCCCGCTCTTCTTCCCTGCGTGTTCCTCACCTCCACGGGGGTAAAAATTAGGCAGCCACAGTTGGGCTGTGCTGGTGGGAGCAGGTGCTCTGGAGGGCTAGGGCTGGAGCGGCACCTTCCGTCTCCTGGCAGCCGATGGCGTATTTGGGGGGAAAAAGAAAATTCTGCCTTTTCTCAAGTGAAGCATTTTGCACTGAAACTCTCCCGCTTCTACTAGAAACTCCGGTCCCCTTCGGAGGAAAGGGGCAGGCGTTGGGAAGAAACACCGCCAGAGAGTTCTGCTGCAGCAACGCCAGGCAGGCCTTGGCCCGGCAGCGAGGGGAAGGAGCGCTCGGCTCCAGCATTCAAAGCATTAGAGAACGAACAGCGTGAGATCACATCGCTGACCAAACGCCAGCAATTTACTTGCGTATCTTTATGGTAGCTGTGTGGAGTTGTTGGAGTCCATCTACATCGCGATGCAGGAACTGGCCCTCGTCTGCCAGCTACCGTGGAAGCTAAATTCAGTCACGTTAACAGCGGTCCGGGTCGGTCGGTCGGACCGTCCCATCTGCAGGTGCCGTTGCAGCGGCAGTTTGGTGGTGAGAAACCCAAGTACGGAATCACTTCTTTTTCCTGTTCAGGAGATGAGGTGCGGACACTTTCACTTTACCGGGAATATTTCTTGACAAATCGGTATCCTGCAAAACGTTAAAACGAGAAATTGAACACGGCAGCAAAGCGCTCAGGAACATCTTCCTCACCCCCGCTAGTGCTTCTGCGTCTGCTGGCAGGAGCTGATGGGCCCGTTTCTGCCAGCTTTCCCCCAAAAGACAATAAGGCTGATGTCAGGCTTCTGCTCTCGCGCCGGGTTTCATTAGTGAAAGACTTAATGGTTTCCTGTGCAGCTCCCACTAATCGGCTCCACTCGGCTCTGGCTGGGCCAGCGGTTCCCTGGGCGCTACCTGCTTCAAGGTCATCAACCGTTAATTGTGTTTTTCTAGCAGAGTGCCACAAAAAGTCAACATTAAGGCTGCTGCTATTCAATGTTTCTGATCAGTGAACTGTTACAGGCCAACGAGGACCTGTCACAGAGCAGTCTGGGCTGCCTGATAAACGGGGATCGCTGACGTGAAATGGGAAATAAACACCTGAGGACTGAAAGTCACAACAGGCAGCGCAGGAGGAGCGGGGGGACTGTGGCGCAAACGGCTGACAGAGCCACGGGAGAAGAGCACGGCAAGGAACCAGCCCTCTCCCCGGCGGCAGGCACCGGAGCGCACAGACTGATGGTGCCAATTTGAAAAGGAAATGGAGGAAACAGCAAGAGAGCAGAAGAAAACGGCATCGGGCGGGCTAAGACCTGCCTGAGCAGGGAGACGATGCGCTCACCCGGCCCGTGGTAAGCACCTTGCCGGGGGAGAGGGGCAGGCAAAAGCCCGCCGTGAGCAGCGCAGCAGGACGATGCCTCCAGCCCGAGCCCAGCTGAACTCCCAGTGCAGGTACCTGCTCCTTCCACACGCTGCCAGCGGGAGTGGGAACTTCCCCTCCCAGAACCAGAGGATTTTTTGGAAGATGATGCTTTTGTCAGACACGTTACTTAAGATCAAGAGAGAGACAATATGGAAACTTAAGGCCCAGTGCTGTAGGTGAGGCTCAATTTCTAGCGATTCTTTCCAGCCGAAGCAGTACATCCTCCCCAGCAGTACTGACAAACACAACACTGCTATTAAAAAAAAAAAAAGCACTAGCATGCTTGGTTTTGGAGGTGTTTACCCCCAGAATGGCACTAGTGGACATTTTGCTGCCGCTGTTACATTTGTAGAAGAGAAACTGTGTAGAAAAACCAGTCACCTTTACACTGCGGAACAGGTCTTTTTCTCTTGCACTAGCTTCTTTGGATTGCATAAAATTATGCAAGGCAATCTTTGCAGCTGTAAAAACACAGGGAAGATTTAAACAGGACGTAAAAACGTGCTGGCTTCAATAAGAAGAGCACTGAGAAGGATTCAAGTGCTTTAATACAGTACCTTTTCCCTTCTTTTGGGTGCCCGGAGTGAGCTTGACTTTGTACCTTTCAAAAGAAAAGGTTTCTGTAAGTAGCACGCCGGCCCCCCTCGGCCAGGGCAGGCTGCCGCCAAACCCTTCCCACAGAAAGGGCTGCAACTTACTTATAGTTCGTCATCGCCGTGTAGGGGAGGGGAACGCGAAAGGCCAGAATGTCCTCGGGGTGTGGCTGGCCAGTCAGGGAGTCCAGCAAGGCCTCGCCTTCCTGAACGGGCAAAGGAGCGTCACTGTGAAACCAGACAGCGTCTCTCCAGCCCCTGACTACCGGTTTCGCCGGGGGCAGCGGCTGAAGGGTCTCCCCTTCCAGCTGAACTACAGCAGCAGCTGCAATCCCACAGGTACCCTGCGTCAGATCTCGTCACGGGGTTACCCAAACGTACTCGGTTTAGCTTTATCACTCACTTCACTGGCACTGAACTACCAAGCCACCATTCGTTACTGACCGTCTTTGATTACTAAAATCACATCATTTGAAACAGGACGGACCTTGGTTTTAAATGACCCAAATGGGAGCCCCAAATGTAGTTACGTCTTCGCAGGGTCACCAAACGCTTCCCCCCCCCCCGACAACCATTATCTTCCTTCATTAAAGAATTCAAAGGAATCGACTTATTTCCAGCCTTGGGCAACACCCACAGCCTGTAATTATAGACAAATTTGAGGCGATTTTATATGTAAATAAACTTGTAAACTAAAGAACAACTTGCAGTGCGTGGTATTGTGCCGTCCTCCAGCCCAGAGCCACCGTTACCGGGGGGTGCAAAGGCCTCCAGAGGGAAAGGCAAGGGACAAACTTCAATTTAGCCAGCCCCTAGTTTCTACAGGGGATGTACGCGACAAGCAGGGTAGGAAGAATAAAGAGGTTACGTTTTTTTTTAAAAATACAAGAAAGCTGGGTCCAAACAGCCACGGGCAAGAAGGGGACTTGAACAGCAGAGCCGTACCCTTCTGGAGGGCTCGCACGTGAACCAGCCCCAGCCTGCTGCAAGCCCGTGCCTCTGGTCCTGCTCACAGGGAGGTGTGTGCTGCAGCGCGGGGCCTGCCAGCTTCGGGCAGGAATAAAGCCCTCTCCTCAGCACCTACCGGAGTTTCAAAGACGAGCATTTACCTCAACTCCCGGCTGCTCCTGGTCTTGCTCCTCCTGCACACACAAACAAAGGAGACATCAGAGCTGAAATGAGCACGCGGCAGCTTTTTTCTCCCCCAGCCCCTGGAGAAGATCAATTCTTTTATCAGCAGCACCTAGAAAGCCACATTCTCACTGCAAAGAGAATTTAACTTATTTCAAAGCAAAGGTAAGAAGAGCACTTTTATGTGGGTGAGGGGAGGAATATTTCTTTCAAAACTCTAATTTGCTTGGCACACGCCAAGCTGGGAGGAGAGAGATGGGCTGTGATGCAGAGACACTGACTCACAACAACAGATCTGGAGAGCGCTCAGTTACATTTCAGCTGCGCCGAGTGGGAGGTATTGACTTCACTGGGTCCTCGGCAGCCTGGCAAGGCTCGGTACTCCTCCGAGCCCTCGTTCTGGCTGTGCTGGGAACGCAGTGCGCACGTAGATTGCTGCAGGGTTTTTTGCTGCTTCTTGAAACCCAGAGGCTCCCAGAGTCATGGCATTAGGCACAGTGTTCTCCACAGTGCCCCAAAACCAGCAAGAGCTGCTCAGCCTCCCTGGCAGAACAGAGCTACGCAGTGCCAGGAGAGCCATGGTAGAGGGTGAGAAGGGACAGACGCGTGGACAGGAGAGGAGAGGAGAGGCGAGCGTGCTGCTCACCTTCTCATCCTGCTGCTCCTCCAGGGCTGGGTCCTGCGACTCGTGCAGCAGGACTCCTGCTGGGAGCGTCGCCTTGCCCCCTCCAGCACCATGACGCACAGCCTTGGGTTTCTGCTGTTGCTTCTTTGCTGGCTCTTCTTTTGTCTTCCCCTTTTTCCCTTTTTTCCCTTTCTCCTCCTTGTTTGACCCTGCAGACTGGGGTTACACACAGAGGTGGTCAGAGCCAACGACCCAAGGGACTGCGTCACAGGGGGAGGCAGAACTCCTCTCACTCACCCCCAGCAGCTTCATGATGAGCTCCCGGTCCTCCTCGTCCTGGTCCTTGTACTTCTCCTTCATCTTCTTCATTTTACTCTGCAGAAGAAAAGACACCAACAGCTTTAGAAACAATGACTTTTGCAGAGTTCTGCATCCACAGACAAACACCTAGATGCTGACCCCACACGCGCTTTCCTTCCAGGTCTCCTGAACCTCTTTCAGAGCAGCTCACCAGTAACCAAGAGACTGCGGTTTCAGTGAGGAAAGCACAGCGTGCTCAATGCTAACAGACCAGCACCATCATCCTGAAGCCACCAAGAGCACCACCGAGAGTCTAAAACTATCAGGCAGCCACAGATGTCTGACAGAAACCTGGTATTTCTGTCCACACTTCACGTGGCAACGGCTCAACCCGTGGGTA